CGTGCGCCACTTCATCGACCAGGGCATTGATGTGTGCCTCTGCCAGTCCTACGCCAAGAACATGGGCTTGTACGGTGAGCGCGTGGGAGCCTTCACCGTGGTCTGCGCAGATGCTGAAACTGCCAAGAGGGTGGAGTCGCAGTTGAAGATTTTGATCCGTCCTATGTATTACAACCCCCCTCTCCATAGGGCCCGGATTGCCTCGACCATCTTGACCACGCCGGAGCTTCGGAAACAATGGTTGCAGGAAGTCAAAGGCATGGCAGACTGCATCATCAGCATGCGGACCCAGCTGGTCTCCAACCTCAAGAAGGAGGGCTCCTCCCACAACTGGCAGCACATCACTGACCAAATAGGCATGTTTTGTTTCACGGGGCTCAAGCCTGAACAGGTGGAGCGCCTGACCAAGGAGTTCTCCATCTACATGACAAAGGACAGCCACATCTCTATGGCTGGAGTCACCTCTGGCAACGTGGGCTACCTTGCCCACGCCATTCATGAGGTCACCAAGTAATTTCCCCAATGAGAGGGAACAGAGATGCCCGGCCTCTTCAGCCCCTGCTGTCGTGGGATTCAAGGGGAGCCTGAGAGCAGGTGGATGGTGGAGGGCAGGCTATTTCTCTGAACCACAGTCCTTCACACTCAGCCATTGAATGTGTTTCTCGGAAAAGAACATGTAATGAATTAGGACAGAGGCACCCGTGGCTGCAGGCTGGAGCTTTGTGCCTCCCAAACCAAACTGGTCCCCATCCTGTTTTCTCGGGTGTCTCCCAATGAGTTTATGTGTACGAGAAAGAGCCAAAAATCTGTCCGTCACACAACTGCAATATTTCAGAAACTTTAACCGAAGCACCTTGCGTGGTGAGGGTTCCTCTGTTCATGCAGCCTAAGAACTGGCACTTACTAGACCTTGTACAGAGAAGCCTGCTTCTGACACTGACTCTGTCTTTCCCGACAAGAGCCCATAGTACAGAAATCACTTCGGGGGCAACCCACTGAGCCCACTGCCACTGCAGCGAGGAAAGGAAAGGACACCCTTTCCTGGCTTGTTTAAGAGAAAGGAAGAAAGAAGACTCTCCTTTTTCATACTTAGAGGCATTTTAACACTTCCCTCTCAGCCCAAATCATTGCTGTTCTTTTCCTTAGACACAGAGACC